TTCTATACCTATCTCTGTCAAAATATTAAAAGCTGCAAAAGAACCATAAAAAATGGAATAACTTAAAAAAATCTTGGATGAATAATGAGCTACTTTCACTAATTAGAACTAGAAATAAATTCTAAAAATTAAAGAAAAAATATATTAACAACCTGTTTTTCGAAAACGAATTCCGAAAATACAAAACTTATGTAAGAAATAAAATAAGTAATTCACGTAAAAAGTATTATGGTGAGCAGACAGAAAATAATATTGACTCAAGTAATAAAACGTTGAAAATTTTAAAAGAAATAATATAAGTAAAGCCACAAGAAAAAAATACTGAAATAGTACAAATAAAATATAAAGAGAAGAGTGTAATTGATTTAAAGGAAATCGTCATTTAACGACTATTTTACCACCGTAGTAGCAATACCTCAGAATACTCAGTACATTGACGAGCAAAGTACTGAAATCCGCATTCCATTTAATCTCAGTTATAGTGATCCCTTGGAAATTATAAATGCCATAAAAAGTTTAAAATCTAAATCAGCAAACGGATTAGACGGAATATCTGTTCGCTTTGTCAAAACATACAAAGAAAGACTATCTGCACCATTAACTGAACTCGTGAATTACTGTTCCGTTCTGGGAACTATCCTGAAGAGCTTAAAGTAGGTCTAGTGGTTCCCATACATAAAAATGGAAGCAAAGAACTCTGCTCAAATTGTAGGCCAATAACAAAACTCAGCACTATTGACAAGATTTTTGAAAGCATTGTTCTAACATGGCTAAAAAATTTTCTGAGAGACAACAGCGTAATTGATAAAAATCAATTCGGATTCACGGAAAAATCAAATACTTTATCAGCATGTATTAACTGTACAGAATTTATATACGAAAATCTGGCTAAAAAGAAATATGTTGCCATGCTGGCGATTGACCTGAGTAAGGCTTTTGACTCCGTTAAATTGGATATAATGTTACCGAAGCTTCATGAACTGAGATTTGATAAAATTGCCATAATTTTTTCCGAATTGTACAAATAGGAGACATCAAGAGTTCAGTGAAAACACTTAAAGTAGGGTTGCCACAAGGTTTCAAACTACCTGCGACGTTATTTGTAATTTACATAATAACGTTTTGAAACTTAGAGTGCACGGAGTTCCCCAGTTCTATGCAGACGATGGCACGTTCTTATATGCAACTGATACACTAGAAGAATTGATTAGTAACATAAAAACAGATTTGCAAGAAATTCCCAACTAAAAATCTTCTGCAAATTAATTTATCAAAAACCTATTTTATCATTTTCAATAATTTTAGAAAGATTCCTGATAGAAGTGAATATCCCGGAATACTATTCAATGGCACTTACATTTCCAGAGTAGAGAAATTAAAATATCTCGGTATATGGTTCGAAGAGAATTTGAATTGGAACGAACAGATCCAGAAAACAAAAATGAAAGTACTACCATTTAACTTTTTCATCTATCGAAACCGAAATAACATTCCAAAAAAGCAATTGTGGCTTCTATACAACTCTTTCTTTTTATCTCAAATCAATTATTTAAATCCTATTTGGACAGGTTCTCACATCAAAAATTAAGTGAATTGAAAAGGCTTCAAAGCAAAGTAATAAAAAAACATCCTCTAACTGCCACGCAGAACCAACACACACAATCTATATGTAAATAGGCTTGATATACGAAAGTACTAAATCCTTCAAACTCTACTGGCCACATATAAGTTAAAAAATAATTTGATAAAACATAATTTAAATTTCGTTGAGACCGAAAGCACTGAATATAATCTAAGAAATTCCCAAAATATCATAAGACACTTTTTCCGAACAGAAAGATGCGCAAGATCTCTTAGAAGCTACGGAATATGATTATTCAATAAATTACCTGTAGAAATAAGAAGTATAAGCAATATCCTACTATTTAAAAGAAATGTAATAAACCTACTTTTATCAAATTTTACTCACATATGAATGTACCTCAATTTATTACTCAGCCCACGTACCCATCTTTAGTTAGTAAAAATTCCTCTTGTCACAACTGATTGCAGTAAAATCCAAAAATATATTCGCTATCTTCTCGCACAAAATACTATATTTATTAAGAAAATTGATGTATATGTTTTATATATTTATGTTGTTAAAAAGGAAAAAAATAATAATTTACTGCGGGAAATTTTTTATTCTCTTTTTGTCTCCCAGGCTAACCTAATATTCACGCACGCCGCCAATTTATTGTCAAAAATTTCTCATGCACATGCAACTTGTATGAGATCAACCGAAATTGAACGGCGTGCGTATGAAGCTAACTCAATTTCCAATTTTTGTTCTGGGTGACATTTTGATTTGACGTTTCGCTCAATGAAATCAAATGCAAACGCATGCAAGTCAACTTCGGGTGACGCAAAAAAACAAATTCGACGGCATGCGTACCAAAACGCAAGCCGCAAATATTAGGTTAGCCTGTTCGCCTTCTCGTTTTTGCCTTTATAAGTTTTGAAAAAAGGGTTTATCACATTCCTAGGCAAGGTTTGAAAGAATATTTTCGAAACTAAATTTTATTAAAACAAAATGTCGAAATCAGCTTACAGAAAAAGTGTCATCGCTAATTAAGAAAGAGATATTCTTAAATATCATAACTTTACGACACTCACATATTGACTAGATTTAACTATTTATTTTATTATATTTTAATTTGAATTATTTGATTATAAAAATATACCCCCTTATTCTAGAACCCGAATTTTCGAAATTCGTAGCTACGCTACGAAAAATCCACATGCTGTAACCCTTGCGAAAACATGTGCAGCATTGACAGCTACCAGTTGTTTTTCGAAGATAGCTGAATGAAGGAAAACAAAGTGGAAAGGAATTAAAAAAACACTCATCATGTGCTTGTTTATTGTAAAATTGGTAAATTTAACACATTTTGAGGAAAATTATGGATTCTGATGTATTTGCAATTATAGCAGCAGAGTAAGCGGGCGCTATGGCAATGGATTCACAAAGGTATGCGGATTTGTCGGGCATGGTAACCATGGGCGCATCTATGTCAGCTTCTGGTTGAATTGTTGAACCACAAGCCAGAACTGCTCCTATGCCTGAAGATCTGATTCTCTATCCAGTTAATGCAATAACAGCTTCTTCCACACCATTGAAAACATGCCCTTTGTTAGGTCCACCACCTGTTGAATTTGTTTCTGCCTTCGGCCGCGCTGAGGAATTATAACCCTTACTAAGTAGAATTCTCCTTTCTGTGTTGCCGGAGAAGAGGGGCTTCCGCATGTCAAAGATATACAACATTTCTTGTGCATATCACTCCGGCTACGCCGTCTACAGTATTTTCGCGCAGAACCCACGTCGAAATTTGCGAAAAAGTGCATAGTGCAAACCGAGCTTATTAATAAGCTTGTGGTAGGAAATTTGAAACATTTATCTTAAATAAAATGTGAATCCTTTGATTACACGTGTATGTTAAAGTTTTTGGATTCGGGTTATGCGTTTGGACACAACAACCGAAAATCGTTGTACATTAACTAAACCGGACCCAAGTTTCTCGATAAGGGGCAACAAATATTCTTTTTCGTTTATATAAAGCAGTGGATAAAAATATACGTATGTGCGAAAGGCAAATTTATCTGCTAAAATGAACACCACCAATATTTTTTGCAAACACACATCGATTTCATCTTTTATTTCGCCTCCGATACAGAATTGTTTTCGTACAAAATTACGCAAAAAAGCTTACTCGTTCGTTTTTAGGCATGCCATTGTTACGAATTTCGAAAGTTCGAAAATACGATTCGGATTGCAGCATACTATTTCTACGATTCGTAGCAAAATCCGAATACGAAAGAGTTGCAGAATAGGGGTGACAGTTTATTCCTTTACAAACACTAAATGAAAATAAGTTTAATCTTTGAACAACATTAAAAAAATCGACAAACTTTCGTAAAAATTTCGAACTTTCTATTTCAATTTTATCTCTTAATATATTGCAGTTTTTTAGTCTAATAAAGTGCAAATTTAAAGTAGCTGTGATTTACAGTTGATGTATGGCATATTTTTGACGATGTCGGTAATTTTCTTCCATATTACCTAAGTATGTTCGACGTTTTTTTTATGAAGAAAATTAGCAACGCCTTCATCAAAAAAGAAATATTATGTTATAAGTGCATACACATTTAGGTAAAAAGTGTAAAATATGTAAATGTACCTACATAAACTTTCCCATGAATACCATTAAATCATTGGGAAACTTTTTGGGAAAGTTGTCAAGCTTTTTTTCTATTTTTCTGCAACATTGCCTCTTTTATTTGCAGTGTAAAATCCGCGGCCTCGGATTTTTTAAAACCGGCCTTTACGTACGCTTCGTCATCCATAATAATACAGACAAATTTCTGTATAAGACGGTCGTGGAATTTCCGAGCACGTTGTTTCGTTGCGATTAGGAGCTGTATTCACTTTGTAAGAACGTAGCCCTCCGTTTTGCGTACTTTTTAGATATATTATGAGGTGGGTTTTTTCGAAGGCTGAGGTGAGCTCAGCCGATCCAGAGTCCAGTGGAGGTCCCACTAACTTCCACCAAATAAAACACATTCAGCCCAATTCTAAATATTCCCGTCCAGTTCATCCCTCCCGGAGTCTGTTGTTCTCGAGAATAAAATCCTCCAATTCTAAACTATCGGGGAAAATGAAAATATGGGAATAGAAGTTCGAAAATTCGAAAATGTGAAGTTGGCTGTGTTTCTTTGAAGAAATTCTCTTTTGACAGTTGACACGTAAACATTGTAATAAAAGCCAATTTGTTCATTTCTGTTATTAAATTACATTTTTCTTTTTAATCTAAAGATAAAATGTACAGCATAGCCTTCCATTTGGTAGCAGAAGAGATGGACGAAGATGTGNTACCATTAAATCATTGGGAAACTTTTTGGGAAAGTTGTCAAGCTTTTTTTCTATTTTTCTGCAACATTGCCTCTTTTATTTGCAGTGTAAAATCCGCGGCCTCGGATTTTTTAAAACCGGCCTTTACGTACGCTTCGTCATCCATAATAATACAGACAAATTTCTGTATAAGACGGTCGTGGAATTTCCGAGCACGTTGTTTCGTTGCGATTAGGAGCTGTATTCACTTTGTAAGAACGTAGCCCTCCGTTTTGCGTACTTTTTAGATATATTATGAGGTGGGTTTTTTCGAAGGCTGAGGTGAGCTCAGCCGATCCAGAGTCCAGTGGAGGTCCCACTAACTTCCACCAAATAAAACACATTCAGCCCAATTCTAAATATTCCCGTCCAGTTCATCCCTCCCGGAGTCTGTTGTTCTCGAGAATAAAATCCTCCAATTCTAAACTATCGGGGAAAATGAAAATATGGGAATAGAAGTTCGAAAATTCGAAAATGTGAAGTTGGCTGTGTTTCTTTGAAGAAATTCTCTTTTGACAGTTGACACGTAAACATTGTAATAAAAGCCAATTTGTTCATTTCTGTTATTAAATTACATTTTTCTTTTTAATCTAAAGATAAAATGTACAGCATAGCCTTCCATTTGGTAGCAGAAGAGATGGACGAAGATGTGGAGCAGAATCGGACACAAAGGATGGAAAGGAGGCAGTTACGCGATGCAACAAACCCGCTTGAGTTGTCCCAAGCTTTGTGAGTAAACAAAGAAATTAGTATACTTATTTTACATTAATATTTGTGTTTTTAAAGATTTGAGAAATATTATAGGGTAAACAAAGCAGCTTTTCGGTACTTAGAAAAAAGTCGTTCGCTGTTTCTCCGCTGATAAAACTAAACGTAACTTTACGCTTCTTTGCAGAAGGTGGCTATCAGACGGGAATCGAAAAAGAATACGACGTTTCTCTTGCTCAATGTAGCCTCAGCAAAGTGGTTAGCGAAGTTATAAATTTTTTTGAAACTAATCTTTGCACAAAATGGATCCGTTTTTGCAGAACAGCGGAAGATAAAACGCAAAATTTCATTGGCACTTTACCGTAAGCATGGTNCTTTGCAGAAGGTGGCTATCAGACGGGAATCGAAAAAGAATACGACGTTTTTCTTGCTCAATGTAGCCTCAGCAAAGTGGTTAGCGAAGTTATACATATTTTTGAAACTAATCTTTGCACAAAATGGATCCGTTTTTGCAGAACAGCGGAAGAAAAACGCAAAATTTCATTGGCACTTTACCGTAAGCATGGTATTCCAAGTGTGATGAGATGCATCGATGGGACACGTCCGCATTATAGCTGCCTCCCAGAATAAACACTTATATTATAACAGAAAGGGAAAGTACAGCTTAAATGTCATGCTGGTAAGTGATACGTTTTATTACTTTTTACCTCTAATAATNAGCATGGTATTCCAAGTGTGATGGGATGCATCGATGGGACACATGTCCGCATTATAGCTGCCTCCCAGAATAAACACTTATATTATAACAGAAAGGGAAAGTACAGCTTAAATGTCATGCTGGTAAGTAATACGTTTTATTACTTTTTACCTCTAATAATTTTTTTTTCAGGTGTGTGATCATCATCTACGTATTCAGTATGTAGATGCATCCCACCCCGGTGCTTGTCACGATTCCTTCGTTTGGAATACCAGCGAGCTACGAACTCACCTTGAACGAGAATATTTAAGAGACTTGGGCAATTATTTTCTGCTTGGTATAGTATTTGGGCGATATTAGATAGTACAAATTATTTAACTTTTTTTTTAATGGGGGACGCCGGATATCCTCTACAGCCGTGGCTTTTAACCCTCATAGAAGTCCACAGGAAGGATCCGTTGAAATGAAATTCATCGAAGTTCACTCAAAATGCAGAAATGTTATAGAACGTACCAATGGGGTGCTAAAAATCGATGGAGATGCCTTCTTGGAGCAAGAGAGTTGCATTACTCCCCAGAAAAGGCAGGAAAATCATTGTGTGTTGTGCATTGCATAACATATGCCTTTTTTTCAGAGTGAATAGTGTTATGGATTTCGACGAGTCACACAATTCAACTGCCCAAGAAAGTGAGGTGATATCTCCTGCTTCAGCCCAATATTTGTCTACTGCGCAAAGAATGAGAAATAACATTGGAAATAATATATAAATACAGTTTCAAAATATGAGTACCCAACAGCAAAAATCATCAGAAAAGTTTCTATATATAATAATGTTTACATATAATTGTATTTATGTATAACAAAGTAAATTCAGTCTTCTTGACAATAACAAAACAAGTAACGAAAATAAAGGAAAATTAACATATTTTCATAAGTAAATATGTACACTGGCGATCAAAAGTGAGTGTATGGTGTTTTTGTTAAATATTTGTAAAGTTTTTGAAGTTAAAATTTGTTTGTTATTTTATTATAAAAGTATGGTTTATACTTCAATCAAAACCACAAAATTCAAACTTTCAAACTATATACAGAAATTCGAAAAATTCTACAAATTGTTATCTAAATTTTGCACCACTTAATCTGAATTTTTAGAAAAAATCATCAGGTACATTGGCTGTCTAATTCTAGTAAATCAAGTGTAAGTTTTAAGCCACAAAAAAATCGCGTTAATTTTTTTTTATTAATTTTTCTAATTTCTTTACGAAGTTTGAAAGTTTTACTTATGTGGTTTTAATTGAAGAATAAACGATATTTTTATAAGAAAATTACTTCAAAAACATTGCAAATATTCAACGAAAAACACCATGCACTCACTTTTGATCGCCAGTGTATGTATATCACATTTCAATTGCAATATTTGTTGGACTTTAATTTTTCTCAATTTTGTCTTCCACCTCTCTAAGCTTCAATCTTTCCATGACTAGATTATGCCGCTTTATTTCTTCTAGTTTTTCTTTTTTATAGACGTTATGTCTTCGAAATGTTCTTTCTGCAGGCTATAAAGCCTGTCGATGAAATGTAAGTTTTCTTGGTGTACTGTTGCTGGTCTTTCATTTCTGAAGCAGCAACTTTAATACTACCACACATTGCTTTATGTATGACAATCTCTTCCTCGAGGACATCATAAGAATAAAGTTTTTGCGTTGGCGTTTGGCGTGACACTTGGCTGTTGCTGTTTTTAACACTTGTTTGCGCTTTTTTTGAGGGTGGCGTTTGNACATTGCTTTATGTATGACAATCTCTTCCTCGAGGACATCATAAGAATAACGTTTTTGCGTTGGCGTTTGGCGTGACACTTGGCTGTTGCTGTTTTTAACACTTGTTTGCGCTTTTTTTGAGGGTGGCGTTTAATAGTCAGTTGCTTCGGAGTTTTCTATCAACGCATTTGAGGTGACTTCTACTTCACGCTCCACCAACGGTACTTCAACCACCTCTGTGTCTGTAAGGTCTTCGATGTATGGATTTCGGTATTTACCATTGTCGTTTGTGGAGCTCAGCCCGAATTTGTTCGCCACGCCTTCCACTCATACCTTCATGCCAATTAAGCTGTAAATAGCCTCTTCATTGGCCGAAAACTTCTGCTCAAAATTTGGGCCCCCACCAGTTGCTCTGCTCGCTTTTAAATTTGGGCCGCCTTTTGTCGCACATATTTCTTTTGGTCTGCCCACACCTGAAATGTGTTTCGTATTTAAACTTAAATATGTATATCCTCTGAAACGTATATTAATTTCCTTCTACCTTTTTCCACTCCGATATGTTTTTACTTGGAGACCCTGCACAGTTTAGTTCTTCCGCCTTACGCCAAAATCTCACAAGCTCGTCTTTGCTGCCTTTATGAAATCCTCGCGCAATATCGGGGTGAGACTGCATCAGGTCCAAAAGCAACTGCAAGTTTTTACTAAGCTTTATGCAAATTTTTATAGAAAATAAATAAAAACTCACATTTTAAACAAAAATTCGCTGGCGCGCGTTAGGGTGGGGTGCAATAAAGCCATATTTTTTTGGTAATAAGGCCATAAATTCGATATGGCTTTATTTCCAATTACAATTGGTAATTAAGCCATATGGCTTTATTTCGCTTTCAAATTTTTATGTTTCTTTTATTTGAACAATGGAAAAAGTTCGCAACAAAACTACTAAACCGCCTTGAACTACAACTCCTTCTCCTTCGCGTCCAGCCGCGCCGCGCTCCGCCCTTCACACGCGGCGCGGTGCGGGGAGCCAGCAAATGTGCACCCGCCAGGTTATGCACTCGCAAAATTAAAACTTACCTAAGTACATATATTTATTTTTCAATATCCAATAAATCCGGAAATATTAAATAATGATTTATTTCATTTTATTAGTAATAATTTGTATAAATTTAAATAATTCAGTATCAGTTTCAAGAGTGTGTCCAAGGCGAATTTAATAATGAATTACAACAAACACATCATTTGGACGTAATGTTCAGATAAAATTCAGATTCGCCGTTAACACCGCCTTGAGAGTGTCATTTCAGAATATGGCTTTATTTCTCATTTGCAAAACTTTTTGTATGGCTTTATTTCTCTTTCTGATTGGAAATAAAGCCATATGGCTTTATTGCCTAAAAATATGGCTTTATTGCCATATGGCTTTATTGCGTATGGCCTTATTGCACCCCACCGTGCGTTAGGCGGAAAAACTCTCATAAATTGACAATCATTCCCCGCTCTTTTTGTCATCCATAATACCTACTTTTTAAGCGGGAAAAAATTCTCCACTTTCTAAGTCAATTTAGAATAGGAGGAATGGAGGATGAGAAAAATTTCCCCGAGGTTTTTTATTCAGAATACGGGAAAGGGGGAAAGAGAAAAATTTCCCCTTTAGTTTTCATTCATAATTGGGCTGATTATTTTCGTGTATTTAATTCGAATACACATGCATACGCACAAACAGCGCTGTGACTAGAGTTTCAGCAGCCCTATGTCTAAAGAGAGGGAGAGAGCGAGGGAGAGATGACGTTCGTTGTTGTCGTGCGGTCGGGTCGGAGCGGATGGCGAAAAGAGCGCTAGCAGCACGGCAGGTGGCTCTCTGGAACGGATTTTATCAGTCCAGTACTGATTTTTCAACTCTCGTACTGATTTTATTAATTCCCTTAATCAGTACGCTAATGCCCTGATTTTTCAAAATGTGTATTGATTTGTACTGAATTTTCAATTCTAAGCGTAAACATATTTAAAAGGGGTCGTTCCGCTGAATTTGGTACTCGGTAATTTTGTGTTCGGTAATTTTTCGCCATGTATTTTGTTTGTGTAATTATTTTACACAAACAAAAGACGTTAGGATTATTTTAAGGTTTTTATATAACGTTGGAATTCCCTTTAACTGTAAAAAGTAAGAAGAAAATAATTTAACTATAGTAGACGTGCTTTTTTCGAGTGTTGTTAGTTATTCCGACAATAAAGGGACATTCACATACAACTTTCCTCGCTTTGCTTGATAGTTCAAACTTTGACAACAAAGCGTGAAACGCAGAAGGTATGCTACAATCATATATGTAATACTCCTATATTGGCAGTAAGAGCTATTACCGTCCGAAAACACTACAGTGCAGATATATCAATAAACACGTACGAAAGAAAAGGAACACATACGTTTATAAATAAACATGTACACAACACATATACAAAAACGGCACTCAAGTACACAATACATTGACAAAAACGGTACTAGACTGTCTCGCTTTGATTTCGGAATGTTTACACATTGAGAAGTTAGCTTACTGCCAATATGGAATGGCTACAATAAATGCTTTGACAGCTTTTGCGTTCTCCTTTTCCTCCATATATTTTATCTGTAAAATAGATAAAAATCTATAATATTAAATATTATAAATGTGAAAGTTTGTATGTTTGGATGTTTGGGAAATCATCACGCGGAAACGTCTGCACGGCTTTCGATGAAATTTTTTACGCAGATAGTTTATGACCTAGATTGGAAAATAGGCTGCCTTTCTTAAGAGTTGCCACCTGATAAAAAGTTTCATTAAATTAATACGCGGAAACGACTGAATGGATTTGCGTGAAGTTTTGCAAGCAGATAGCTTATGATCTACAGTGGAAAATAGGCTAATTTTTGGAAGAGTTGCCACCTGTTAAAAAAGTTTAATTATATTAATACGCGGAAACGACTAAACGGATTTGCATGAAATTTTGCACATAGATAGCTTATGACCTAGGTTAGAAAGTAGGCTACTTTTTTAAGAGTTGCCACCTGTTAGAAATGTTTAATTTAATTAATACGCGGAAATGAGTGAGCTGATTTGCATGGAAGTTTTCACCCAGATAGCTTATGAGCTAGATTGAAAAATAGGCTACTTTTTTAAGAGTTAATAATAATAATAAAAGATTGTTAGAAATGTTTAATTTAATTAATACGCGGAAATGAGTGAACTGATTTGCATGGAAGTTTTCACACAGATAGCTTATGAGCTGGGTTGAAAAATAGGCTACTTTTTTAAGAGTTAATAATAATAATAATAGATTGGCGCTTACACATATGTTAGTGTTTGGCCGAGCTTCTCCTCCGACTTGTGGCGTGCGCCTTGATGTTGTCACACAAAGCGGAGGGACCTACA